CCCATATCCCTTTTGCTAGTACCAGAGGGGACTGTGCAGCTGAGCAGGCTCCTTCAGACAGTGCAGAACCATGACTGTCCAAGCCAGTGTGTTCTCACAGCTGCTCCAGCAGGTCATGGGGTGAATTCTGATCTTACCTGACCCTCACTGAACTCCTCCAGACAGATAGCACACATTGGGGCTGAGCTGCAGCTGCTTGCTGAATCCCACAGAGGGGCCCGTTGGCACCGGACTGGATATGTACGTGTGGCTAGCTGGCTGATCGCCTGCATGGTCTGCTGCTGCAAGGAATCCTGGGAGGAAGGAAGAGAGACTGAAACTGAACAAATGGCAAGAGTGAGCAGATACTGGATGTGTCCTACTGTGCCATGTGACCCATTAGTCTTCAGACTGGACCCATGAGACTTCAACCTCCAAAATGTAAGCAATGCACCTGGCAGTAACAGGAATGAAAGACAACCAGAGGCATCATGGTCTAACTGCCAAAGCAGAGCATCACCAGCCTTCAGGAGACTTGGCATCTAGTCCTGATTCTATGTGTGATCCAGGGCTAATCTTCCAAAAGTGTCTGCTAATTTCAGGTGCTGGACTCCAAGTACTGGTGTCTTTGTTTGGGTGCCCAGAATGAGAGACTGAAAACTCAAGTCTTCACCTCTCTTGGACTCAGTTGCATAACTAAGACAGAGGTTCATATCACATGTTACACTTAAGAGGTATTAACTACACTTGAAATGTGAGCATCTGTGTTCAAATGGTAAAACACATGCTAAGTGTGATCGTATCATAGAAAAATTAGGACTTTTCACAGGTGGCATATAGCAAGATACTATTCAGGTATTAATAGCTCACTCCCCAGAGATAATACGAGCAGTTTCCTCATTTTCAGTCCCAGCCCTGCCACTACATGACAACCAAGACTTGTAATAAATGTTACTGTGTGGCTGCTCAGAACAGGGTCTAACTTTTAATATGGCACAGGAATGCTTAGTATGACCTAAAGAAAACACTTACTAAGAGTCCCATGTGACAAGGTCCAGAGAGTCTTGCCTTTTTAGAGGGCCTTGAAACCCGCAGGTGAGCACACTGTATAGTGAGCCACATTCCAGTAATTAAAAAGGGCAATGGAAAGAACAGAAAATAAGTAGGGCCTGCACCAACACTAGGTATGACTGATCACCAGCTTGCTTCTAGGTATATTTTTTTTAGAAAACTGGAGAAGCATAGGAATTTCATTATCTAAAACTGTCATGATCTCCTGTGTGGGTCATCAGGAGGATTCAAAAACCAAACTTCCCAGTTCAAAGCATCAAATAGCACAGCACCACCCTTTACACTTGAGCTAAAGAAGTCACTCTGTTAGCTGAAAGCAGCAGTGGCTGCATCTACACGAGACACTGACTGTATAAACAACTACTAAATGACTGCACAGTAACCCAAGTTACTGTGCAGTAGTGCCAATGAACAACTTTTAGTGCCAACAAACAGCTTTTTTATGACGCTGACTGTGCAGTAGCCCCAAGATTACTGAGTGGTAGTGTCATGTCATGGGTTCTGCCACACGACACTACTGCATAGTCAGCGTCTCATGTAGATGCAGCCAGTGAGTCGTTACTGTACACACTGGGTACAGCACACTTACTTAGGCTGTGGGTGCATCCGCTTTTCCTAGATAACAGTCATATACTAGGGAGCAGGACTCCTGATTTCTTTTGTTTGTTGTTAGAAGAGAATGATATCTCAAACTGCTTGGTGAAGACCCGTGAGTGCAAATCCTGCTTTACAGATATGCCACCTAGGACCTGTCCCTTGAAAGGCACTTAGGCAAAGAGGATGATCTTGCAATCTACCTCCAGGTCTGTAAGCATCTCATCAGCAAACTTGATTATAAATATGGGGGGAGGATATTGCCTGCTGCAAGAGTAGGGCTATGGAAGTGATGATAATGAAGGGGAAAGTCTTACTGACCATGTGTAAATGGGGACTTTAACAGGGTTATAATTGAGCCAAATCCTGTCTGACTAGATGACCTATGGAGGTCCCTTCCAGCCCTACTTCTCTATGATTTTCTAGGAACTTTTTCATAGGTACTGATCTCCTGGCATGCTTGTTTATATTGATTGCCATAGGAGACAGGCAATCACATCATTTTGTTGGGTCAGGAAAAACTGGTTCTGTTAAACCTATAGAAATGTTTGTTTTTAGGGTCAAGGGTGCACAGGGTTCATGGTTTTCCATGGTCTACTGGATTTTGGGGGTGGGATTTAGGTATTTTAATAGGGTTAATGATCATGGGCAAGATTTTCAAAGGAGATTAGTGATGCTGGATGCACAGCTCAAGACATTACAAAAAGGGCTTGGCTCCAGAAGTGTCTGTTCAGCATTTTTTAGAATTCAAGCCCTTTTTGGACATCTCAAGTTGGGCATCCCCAGTCGTTGTCTCTTCTGGGTCTCTTTATCACTAAGGTTATCACAAATGGGCTGTCAGCTGATGACCCTGTCATTCTCTAGAAAAGAAAAAAACAATGTTTCTAAATTTTGGAATATTTCTGACTTTGAAAGGCCTTTATATGTAATTGCCTTTCATCAAAAAACTCTGAAGCATGTTAATCTCCAATCCTGGCATAAGGCAATGGCTTCACTGACAGGGCACTGGTTAATATTTGTGAGATGGGCAAAGCAGGGGACTTTGCCAACTGCCTTGGGGTGCTGTGTTGGAATCTGTGGGAAGGTGCCACAAGGCACACGTACAGCAAAGTCTGGGGCAACTGTACAATGAGCCTGGCATGACCACTCCTCAAATCCCAGGACTGGATTGCTCATGCTACAGGAACCAAAGCTGCTCAGCTTACACTGCTGCACTGCTTGGTTCAAGGTACCTGTCTTGTATACGCAGGTCTGCTGTTCCTCAATGACATACCTACTTCCAATCTCCCTCTACCTTCTCTCAAGCTTTGTGTGAACAACAGACTTTTGCTTGTGGAGTAGCATGAATCTGAGCTGCCTCCACATGTTCTGACTCCCCACAAAGATTCTTACCTGAGTCCTGTTGAAATGACACTTGGTGCGAATGACAAAAATCAAAACGATGACAATGACAGTGCTCACCACTGTAAGGAGGATCCACACATCATAGTCCGGCTGTTAGAGAAAGACAGAAAAAACACTAACCCTGGGTCAGCACCTGATGGGAATGATATTGAGCCAAGGTGTTCCTGACCTCTTCTTAACTGTTATGCTCCATACATAGGAGTAGACTTTGGCCAGCACAACTCTTATCGCCACATACAGTCTGAGACACACAGCTGGGGAAGAAAGTCTCTATCTGGCTCTCACAGAGGACCAGGGCTTCCATCTCAAGGAAGTAAAGCTCAGCATGACACTCCCAGTGCTGGGCAATTGCCCTCTTAAGGATGCCATTTTTGGCACAGGGTGAAGAGGAGAAGGTAGGTGTGATACATCACTCACCCAAGCTGGTGGCTCCTTGACCTCTATCTTCACATGGGCCTCTCTGTTCTTGTTCACAACGCCCATCAGTAGTTCAGCGTCATGACCCCAGATCAGAACCACAGGCTGACTGAGGCCCCTGGGCTTCCTCAGCTGCAAAGAAACAAGCATGGTGGTGAGATGCCCAGAGTAGACCCTGAGATATGAAAGCACATGGAGATTTATCATCCTCCATGGAGGCTAAGCAATTTGGACAGTGACCCAGTAGGTCACAGGACTGATGCCAGTGATGAGCACCGCTGTCTCTGTAATTCTGATGTGCCATGGGGCTGCCCAGAACAGCACTGTCATCCCTAACACCAGTACTTAGCTGCTACCCAGAACTCCACCTAGCTGTCTCTGAAGTGTCCTTATCCTCCAGGCTGCGTGTCAGGTGGAAGCTGCTCATTTGTTCTTCAACACCCCCAAGTATGTCCAGTGCCCACCTTTATATTCACATGGTTCCCTTACAGGGATAACTACTCCTTCATGTCCTTGTCTCTCACATCTTGCTCCTTCACCCACTGTGTGCTCCCTCTCTTACACACTCTCTCTTTCAAACCCTCCTCCAAGCCCTTAGGCCTACCCTCAGAGAATAATAATACCTAATGATTTTTGCTATAAAAATAATCACAAAACACCCAAGATGCCTGCCGAGATCACTGTAGGCAAATCTATACCATCCCCAAACATGCTATGGGGCCCACCATGCCTGTTCCACCCACTAATGCCAAAAAATGCCATACTATTGCTATTTGGAGGGTACCCAGAGCATGCTTCGTGCTATTCTCAGGCTTGGGTGCATTTACTGGCACATGCCCAGAGCCCCTCCAACAGTAGTCATGTTACATTTTGTTGCCATTTGGCTTCTGCACAGCAGGAGGGGAGGGACATGCATGGTGGGAGATGGGGCAGGCATGCCCTGTGTATGTTATTATGTCCTAAGCCCCTGGTAGCTGTCAGCCCTTATACTGTTACTTGCTTGTAAAGTGCCCTGTTCAGTGTTAGCACTGCATAATGAATACATGAATTAATAATTTAACTGCTTTCCCCCATAAAACTGCCTAAATTTAGAGGGTAATCTTTTGACCCCTGGAGCCATCTATTCACTCAACAATAGCAGCTAGTCTACCAGATCTACAACTGGCTTTGTTCCATCCCCATTTTTCTGTCCCAGAGCTCAAGGTGCTGAGAGTAGGCAATGGATAAGGAAAGCACAGCTGATCACAGCCAAGAACAGAATTGTGGAGCCCTAAGCTACTTTTCACCCAGCCAGGAACTGGAAGCCCACCTGGATTTATTCTAAAGTGCAGCAGTCCTTCCTGAGACCGCCCTGTCCTGCATCCTTCTACCCTGCTTGCACCCTCCACCTCTATATGGAACAAACTGCTCTGCGTGCTTCCTTACCAACCACTTGCCTCCTCTAATTACTGCATGTTCCTCCTCATCCCATGCTTCTCACTGCAGTCCAGATGTTTCCCCATTTGCCTCTAAGGACCAGATGTTCCTTTTCACCTTAGTATAAAGTCATGCTGTCATTTCTGCACAAGTTTTGATAACCTCTGTGATTCCTCTCAGGTCTGAAAAATGAAAAATGCACCTGTCTCTGCAGGGCTCCAAGGGGCAAAGGGGGATCTTCAGCAGAAGTCAGTCTGGGTGCAAAATGTAGATATTATATGCATAATTGCCACACCCCCAGGGGTAAGTCCATGTGAGAACTGGGTTCTCACTCTGTGTTGCTACATGGAGTAAAGGTTGCTTCTCCATGATGTTTGTGGAATGCTGGAGCCAGCCTGTATCAGGCTGCCTCCAGGCCCCTGTGTCTGTATCAGGCTGCCTCCAGGCCTTCTGCTGCCACTGGCTGGTGTGAAGAATGGGGAGTGTGGTGCTAAGCTGCATGTGTGTTAGGACAGGACAGGAGCACTGGAGTTGAAGTGATGCCATCTGTGTTGTCTGTACCTGATCAGCAGCAGTTTTATCATCCGTGATGTCAAAGAGGATGGCACGAGCTCCCCGTTCTCCTGCCAGCTTTGCCTGTCCAAAAAAAACAGACCAGAAACTTGAGAGAATGCTTCATAATGCACATGGTAGCCTACAGGTTTCTGTGCGCTAGCAGGCAAAGGCAGATCCAGGCTCTGGGCACTGAAAGCAGCCCAGCCCACCTGGAAATATTTAAATAGCCACACAGAGAACAACTGAAGTAGCTTCCTTGGGGAGGAAGGCAGTGACTGTTCCCTGGAGACTTCAGATCAAAAGTAGGCATCTGCAAAAGCTCTGCTACGCCTCTGCTACAAGTGCCAGGCCTGATGCAGGGCTGTAACATTTTCTATCTGTGGTGTCAAACTGAAAGGAGCTGGTGGGAAGGATCTGGACCATGGAGTTCTTGCCATAGTTGCCCAAGCTGCTGTCTCAGTACAGCTGGCACATGGGGGTTAACACCACCCCCACTTGCTGACCCACTGTGGATCTGAATGCTGAATGGCAATTACAAACCAGAAATTTATGGTGGGTGAGGGCTGTGGTGGTTTCAAGCACCTGGCTGCTAGCTGTGTCAGTACAGCAGCTTTAGGAGCCACAGAAAGGAGTGCTGTGAGCTGGACCTGGAGGTGAATTGTCTGGCCAAAGTGAAGCTCTGTGGCTGGATGACCCAATTCTGTGGGCTAGATCCAGCCTGCAGACCATGCTTGACATCGCTATTTTAGATGTTCTAGATCTTATTATATGAGCCCTAGGACATGAGAGCCCACATAGTGAACTCAGGATGTTACCTACATCCAGCACCTGCTGTTTCCTAGGTTTCTGTGCCCACTCATAATTTTGTATCAATGTATACAAATAGCCTTGCATCTTAAATACATGCTGGGCTATTCACATCCCATTACATACAGACAAACACAAACACCTATGAACACTCACAGTTACCAGAGGCATGTGCAATACCCATGTGCCATGCATAAAGAAACACCCTCTTCCTGCACACACATGCTCAAACAGAGCCAACCCTGACATTTCCATGTTCCCTTGTACATGCATATGCTTATGCTCTAATACTTATCACTACTATGCACACATACAACTACTCACACATATCCACACATTCACACATATAAAACATCCCCTTACAGACTTCTGGACATAAACATGCACAGGAATACTTATGCATCTGCACATGCATGTGCCAGTGTCTGCACAAACCCACATCTGCAAACAAACCCACCCACCCACCATACTATGTTCCTTTTTCTGCATGCTAAGGCATATCATGAATGCACCCAGAACTGTCTTTCTTTAAGAGGCCTGTAGCCATGCACCCCAGCGCTGAGCTGGGGTTTTGTCCTGAGAGCTCCCATGATGCAGAGAGAGTGACATAGTGTGAATTCAATTGCTCCACCCTCCCTAAAGAAAACTCATTTATCATGTAAAACCCAAGGGAAATTTTACTGCACACAGGGCCATGGTAAATAAAAAAGGTCAGTGGGGCAGGTTGTGGCTTCCAAAGAGATAAGACATAGCCCAGAAAGAAGGGAAGAAGGATGGTCTAGGAGTTAGAGGCCTGGTTTAGCCAATAAGAGATAAAGGTTCAGGTTTCTGCTCTGCCACAGACTTTTTTTGGCCTTGGGAAAGTCTCTTATCCTCTCAGGCCCTTCAGAGCTTGAAATCTTGTCCAAATTCAATGCCCATCAAGTCACAAACAGGCCAAAAGGCCAGATTACTGGGGCTGCGGGGACAGTTTATTTGGATTCCTCACCTGGTGCCAGCAAGGGCTCCAAGAATAAAAAGGTTCCCTTCTAGGCCTGGAAGGTAATGCAGGGGGTTACCCTTAGTGAGACTGGATCAGAGCACACACTGTTACTGGTTGGGGGCACTGTGGTGCAGGAGACTGTTTGGTTGTGGGGCAGGGCTGCAGCAGAGGCTGCTGGCTTGCATAACATGTGCACCTAGTCCTGGTGAGGTGGCCAGTTCTGCTGAGGGTTTTTTGCGCTCTGCCCCAGGCTGCCTTGGCCTGTACTCCCTTGGGCAGGAGGCAAGGCCCTGCAGGCAGACATCAGTTTTGTTCTCCTCATATCCTTTCTCCCACATCTGGCTCTGATCCTTCCTCTGCTCTGACAGGGAGCTCAAGTTCTGTGTCTCAGTGTACCAGGCCCAGCTCAAATAGGGTAACTGGTCCTCCCACCTTTCTGAACAGCCCTGCTGCTCTAAGGTGGGGAGACACCATTTCCCCTGGGCTCTTAAGGTTGCTTTGGCTTCCATTTTGCCCAGTGCATGGTTGTGGAGGGAAGTGTAATTCACCTTGGTAGCATGTGGCAAGATGTCATGCCCTTCACTCTCCCCAAGTAACTTCCTCACCAGGGCCTGCCCCAGTGTCCCTATAGACATAGGGAGCTTATGTGTTTGTCACGTGCCATGAATGGAAAACCCCCACCGTGCTAGCTGTCCCTCAGCCTTGCCAGAAATGTGTAATCTCTCCCCCTCCACCCCTGCCCCGTGGTCTACCTTAAACAGTCTCCTCCCCTCCCTGCCATCCTCCCTTTGCTCCTTCACCTGTCTGCCACCCACACAGCTGATTGGCTCTGGCTCCTGGCCAGGACCCTGCCCTAGATTTCTCCTGGCTGTATTTCAAAGCACAGTAGGAGAGTTTTGGCTTCTTGCAAACCCAGGGGCTGTGCCTGCAACAAGCCTGAAGCAGTGTGGCTCTGAGCCCTGGAGAAAACCAAGAGCCATTTCAGACAAATGCTCCACCAATCAATCACAAGCTAGGGAAGAAAGGGCTGGCTCTGCCTCACCCCACAGAACGGGGGCATGTGAATCACACCCCCTTCGGGGGGCAGGGAGAACACACACACAGTGGGAGGGTGGAGGCAGGTCATACACACATGTATGCTCGCACCCCCCCCAACAAACAAATCCTGGTGGGTGGTCTGACAGCACAATTCAGTAGGAGTTAATTGGCAGGACAAGGTGCTGTCAGAGTATGACACAGACAGACCTCTCTGGTGTGTGCCCATTGTGGGTGGCATCCATGCAAGACCAAGGCCCCCATGATTTCCTACCTCCCTCATAGCAAGCGTGCCGATTCCTCCACACTGATGCTGTATCAGCTGCCTCTTCTCCTCCTAGGCTTAGCCAAACCCACTAGCACATTCTCAGACATGACTGTTGTCTGTGCTACAGGCAAAATCATCTCGCTTCCTTTGGGCTGCTCAGAATGTACGTGTTAGTGTTTCTTATGTGACATCTGGGGAGGTAGAGGTGCCCTGGCCTTCCAGCTCACCTGCCCCTTTTCAAACCACCTCTTTCTGCCCCTGTTTCCTAGGAGCTCCCCAGAAACACTCCTTCAAGCCCCTTCTGAGAGCTGTCCTCCAAGGCACTTGCCAATGGCTGAGTTGCTTGATGCTGAGCCCACTGCCTGGCATGGGGCCAGTACTGGTTTGGTTCCTAGTGCTCCACAGTGTCCGAGTCCCTCTATAGCCTCTTGTCTCATGCTCTGACTGCAAGCTCTGTGGGACAAGGACTAACTACTTGTTCTGCGTTTCCACAGCACCTGCCTGCTTTGTGTCATGGAACAAGAATGAGAGAGAGAGAAAGGCAGACACACAGCGCTGACTCAAACTCAAACTCTCCTACTTAACTGGCAGCAAAACCCAGGGCTCAAACTCTGCTTTCAACCTCAACTTTTGTACCTTTATTATTTTTACTAGCAAACTGTCCGTCATGAATGACCAACCCGTGCCACACCACCATTGCCTCCAGGAGCAGGGGTGGGAGGGAAGTTTGCATGTGGCAGCCGCCGTCACCACCCACTGCACCATGCTACCGCTGCTCTGCAACTGGCTCCATGCCACCACCCCCGGTCTGCATATGACCCCACACCACCCTCCCTCTCCCAGCGCTCTGTCCCCACCAATATTCTTGCTGAATTGGCTGTCAAGAATGAAGGGGGAAGCAGGAGGGGACGAAGTGCCCCCACCCACTACCCTGCACCTCTGCTACCTCCCATGAGCCGGGAGGGGGAAGCTTGTACAACGCAGCCACTGCTGCCACCCGCTGCCCCGTGCTGCTGCTGCTCCACATACAACCATGTGCCACCTCCCCCTTCCATGCCTGGCTCTGTGCCACTCCCCCTACCTGGGAGGCTGTGGTGGTGCAGGGTGGTGGCGCTCTGTCCCTGCCCACCCTGCCCATCACTTGCAACAGGGATTCTTGACACGGCACTGGCTGGAGAAACGCCCTGCCAGGAGCCACGCCCCACGAGTGCGGTACGGACACACAGACAGATGGACTAAGCCCTTTATATAGAGAGATTTTTATTTACTATGTGCATTACCACAGCTCTCCAATCCCCAGGCCTGCACCGGGGCCCCCCCCACAGGTCACATGCAAACACAGGACCAAACAAATGTAACCTGCCCCTTAGAGATCAAACTGAAGTATAAGACAAAAGACAGCAGAAGGATACAGACAAACGGGGGAGCGCAAAGGAAATGGGACAGTTTTGGATATCAGGACAGGTAGAGGTCTCAACGTATCATTGGCCTAACCATCATCAAGAGTTTTGTTGGCACTGCAGCAAAGGAGAGATTTGAAGGAGGGCAGCAAAGAGGCTTTAGGGAGGTTTATGGGGAGCTTCTCCCCAGCACAAGAAACTACAAAGGAGACAGCACAAAGGTTTGACAATATAATAAGTGGGCCCAACAGGGCTGGAATCCTGGGCTGCTGTTTGGTCTGACAGAGACGGGAGAGGCAATAGAGCAAGTTCATCAGAACAATAGACCACATGATCTGTAGCTGCTATGTGAATGGGTATGAGCAAGGCGAAAGCGCACTCAAAGCCAAAAGGAAAGATGACACAAGGGGATGAAGCCTGGTAGGTGTGGAGGGATAGGAAGGGCTGAGTCTTCAGGATGTTACCCAGAATCTGCAAAAACTGGATATAGCCTGGATGTGAGGAGCCTGAGTCAAAGAAGAGACTCAGATTCGAGGCCTAATCAACAGGTGGGATGCTGATGCTACCTCTAGTAACTGAGACAAGATAG